GGGGCTAAGCAGGCAGGACAGCATGCTGACTGTTAACATCCAGGCCTGTCCCCTCCCCTTGGGGACCTGGCAGAGTGGACACTCCTGCACGCAGGGCAGGCAGTACCCTGGCTCTGTATGCAAGTGCAAAGGTCCCTTTAAGAGACAAGCTCCACCTACTCCTGCCCTCTCTCCTCCCCTAATAACACTTCCAAGTAACCTCTGTCTGCCTAGCCTGCTTGTCCCACTATGGGATCCTCCAAAGTCACCCTCATGTCCCATATCATAACACTGATGGTTGTTTCTGTAGAGATGGATTTCTTGGCGGTTCCAGGGAGGACTGAACCTCAAGGAAATATATGAGCCTGATTCGGATGACTGCTCACTTGTCTCCAAAGCCATCCTGGTCTGATTTTCTGTCCATCTTCTTGGGCTCTCTTTCCTCTGAACAAATCTAAAGTGTTAACCCAGCTTACTAGGAAGAACTCAGAGCTAGTGCCATCTGTCAGTATGTGCCATGTGAATGCAGGTGTCCAAGGAAGTCGGAAGAGGGTGTTGGATCCCTTGGAACTGCAGTTTCAGGGGTCTGTGAGCTGCCCAGTGTGTGTTCTGGGACCTGAACCCTGGTTCTCTGGAAGAGCATTAAGTTCTCTTAATCTCTGAACCATCTCTTCAGCTCCCTACATCATTTTTGTATCCTGAATTTGCAGCACCTTTCCTGGGGGACTCTGGCTGCTGGTCCTCCTCTCGTCTGGACCTGAGTTCACATCTACAGCCTGGGATGCTCTGTGGCCATCAGATGCACAAGGACACATTTTCCAAGAGCAAGGGCCTGTGGGACCTCGAGAGAGTACCATCTCCCATTTTTCCCAACACTGCAAGAAACTACCACTATGAAAGTGTGGGTGTGGAAGTACACACTCTTGATCCTGGCTTTCAGGAGGGTGAAGAGTTTGAGGCCACCCTGGGTTACAACACATGGTAAGACCCTTGATAAATATATCAACAATTGAAGGTTTTTTAGGTTAGAGTCAGCCAAAGTCTCCCAGAGCTAACAAGAAGATGTTTGCTGGCTGGGCCCCTCCTGGAGGCTCTAGGAAAGATAACCTCCTTGGAACTTTCTAGGGCTGTGGTCAGAACCAATGTGCACATTTGCTTGATGATATTCTGGTCCTCTCCCCCAGCGTCTCTGGATGGGTTCCACTTCTGACCCCAGTCAGACATTGAGGGCTCCAGGTTTTTCTTGTTGACTCCAGACTTCTATGCCTTTCATTTGCATCTCGTGTGAGTGTGATTCTTTGTGTTCTGAAGTTGATGTGGATTTATGAAGCCCACTAGGCAATCCCACAGAGTCCTCAACTTCAGAGCCTGTTGCCTTCGTCTATTTCAAAGTCCTCTGCACCCTGCATGTTGCCTAGTTCCAGGAATTAAGGTGCACATGTCCTCTGTGACCCTTCTCAGGGCGAGGCAGGGTGGGGTGCAGGGTGAATAGGTCAGCCTTGGGCTTTTTCCATCCACTGGCTACAAAACACACACACACACACACACACACACACACACACAAAGGTCTCTAAGAGTGTAAGTAAAGCCACACCCAGCAGCAAGAGTGTTTTGCCCTATAAGGCTTTGGGTTGCCCCAGGCCTGGAAGGAAGAACCAGCTGGGCAGGAACTGGGTGGAGATCCAAGATTCCTGGGCAGGACCAGGACTTGCCCAAACCAAAGGTAGGACTAGCTGGGCCAGGCTTCCCAGGGAGCCAATGCATAGACTGGTGTCTGGCTCTGGTTTCTTCTGGACCATTCTGAAAATCTCCCAGGGGAAACCATCATCAACCAAACTGCAGGAGAGCCTGCCTCCAGGAGAACCCACTTCCGGGGACTGCAGTACCTCTCATTGGGATTCCTGGGACAAGGACCTCACCCTGACTCTGGTTCCCCTTTCCCCTCATTTCCCACATCTGCTAGTCTGGCTGTTGTGTCCTGTTCCTGAGTCCCTGTGTTCCAGGGGTCACCAAGTTCTAAAAGGCATTCCTATGAGAGCAGAAGGAAGGACAAAGTCTGCTTGTCTGTCTGCGCTGTGCTGGCCCTTGCCCAGCTCATCCAGCCAAGGCCCTCTGCCAGGGTGGCACTTTCTCCCCAGAGCACCCCAGTGGTTTCTTAGCTACGTTGCATCTTTTTTGGTCCTTTCAAGGTTACCCCACAACATCCACCCAGGGCAACACACTGTGCTGCTCTGAATGCTCAAGGATGCACTTCTATGGATGGCTTCTCAGACTTCACCCACATTGCTCCTACCTGCATGGGGGCAGCACCTTTAGCCAAGCCCCATGTCAACCCAGGCTGAGTCCAGAGTCCTGATCTCTATCTTGTTGTAAAAAAAAAAAAAAAAAAAAAAAAAAAGACAGGGCCTTGTCATACTGCCAGGTTACTCTTAAGTTCCTGGGCTCAAGTGACTCTCCTGCCTTGACCTTCCTGGCAGTTAGTACCACAGGCCCTCTGTGTTGGCTATTCAGTGGGCTAAGGAGCATCCCACATCTTGGGCCAGACTCAAGACTGGACTCATAGAGTTCAGGAGGTGACTGTCAGTAAAGTACTTGCCTTGCAAGAGTGGAAACCTGAGTTCAGTCCCCACCACAGCCCACATTTTAAAAAGCCAGGTGTGGTGGTGGAGCGTGCTTATAATCGCAGTGTGGAGGAGGCAGAGACAGGATCCCTGAAGCTCATTGGCCAGCCAGACTTACCCTGGGGTGGTGGGCTGGGCAGAGGTATATAGCTCAGGGACATCAAGGGTCTGTGGTGGGCAGGGTACCTACTGTAGAGATACCACTGAAGGCTTTGTATACACAGCTGCTCAATGTCACCCCTAAGAATCCTGGGAGTGACATTTCCCACCTAGATTCTGAGAAGAAGCTGAGCCATGCTGACTGGGGCCAGTGTACAGGTTGGGGGCTCCTAAGACAGGGTGACAGACAAACCAGACCAAGTCTCCAAGTGGAGGCGACTTCCCGAATGTCAGCACACCCTGGCTCATCCTCATCAGTGTGTGAGCCAGGATGACATCTACTGCATGTGCCCTCTGCACTCACTGGTTACTCTTGGACATCTTCCTCATCTATGTTGCTCTCTGGATACCCATGGCCACATCCTGGTGGCTGTGGAAGGCAAAGTACAAACACAGTGTGCTCTGGCTGGGGGGCAGCTTGGGGATGGAGCTTGCCTAGCAAGTACGAGGCCCTAGCATCACCCACCGGCACTGCAAATGAATTAATCCCCCCTGGGGAGACAGTCTTCATTTTCCTCAGGGTATTTATGGAGAAAATGTCTGATTTCAGTCTCTTTGAGCCATGGGTCTATTTGAAAGCTGAAGGAGCCTGGTTGATTTTGATTGCCAGCTTAACACAACCAAGAGCCACCTGGGAAGAGAGTGGTTCAACTGAGGGTACCTGCCCAGATCTGGTTGGCCTGTGGCCATGCCTGTGGAGAATTGATTGATGTGGGAGGATTCAGCCCACTGTGAGTGGTACCTGCCTAGCAAGCGGTCCTGGTGGTCTAAGAAAGCTAGGTGAACATAAGCCAGGGGCCAGTAAACATCCTTGGTTTGAGCTCCGGGTTCCTGCCTTGGCTTCTCCTAGTGACAGACTGTTACCTGGAAGTGTGAGCCACATAAACCCATTCCTCCCCAGATTGTTTTTGGTCCCGCTATTTATCACAACAGAAGGCAGACTGGAAAAAAAATTTTCTCAGTTGTCTTACAACCCAGGGTTGCTTTGCTGAGGTCCAGGGGACTTTATCAGGACTATCAAGGAAATCTACATCTGGTCACCCAGCCTCCTGGGGGAAGGGACAGAAGCCATCCTCAGAGCACCATACTGACCTGAGAACATCTGTCATAAAGCTATGAGCTTGGATAAAGACGGTCAGCTGACATAACTGGGGAGCTCAGAATGTGCTGTGTGTCTAATGGTCTTGTCTAGTCTTCCTTGAGGATTGGTTATCAGATGTGTGAGAGCATCTGTGTGAAAGGTTATTCCCATCTGACTGTGTAAAGAGAGGAACTTTTCTGTTTAATTATTTTTTTGCAGTGCTGGGGAAGGAGCACTCTGCCATTGAGGTCCATGTCCACCTAGCCTTGGTGTTTATATCCCTGTGGTAGATTAATTTTGATGCCCACAGCTGCCAGGCTTAACGTGTTCATTTGATAATAACCCTGCTTTCTTTCTTTCCTTCCTGCCTGTGCAGAGCTTTACCAGATTTAGTCTTCAGTTTGCTCCCAGTGTCTTCAAATATAGATGAATAACTCGGCATCCGCAGTGGAGTGCCGAGCATCCCAGGATAGAGTGAGGAGGATCTGCTTTCACCGAAACAAAAAGTTTAAGATGCACAATGTGTGTCTTGAGGTCCAAGAAGGAAGTCTCTGTATTTCCTGCCACTTTGGAAGGGCCAACAGGAAGTATGAAAGTGCTTGTTTTTGTGTGTGTGCATGCTGTTTTGTCTTGTTGAGACAGATCTCACTATTTAGCTCTTCCTGGCTTGCCTAGAACTCACTCTACAGACTAGGGTGGCCTTAAAGTCACAGAGATCTGGGGACCTCTGCCTCCCAAGTGCTGGGATTTAAAGGCAAGCATCACCAAGCCTGTCTGGATTTCTTGATCTCTTGATTCTGCTGCTTCAGCTTCCATAGTGGTGGGATCCCAGGCCTTGCCACCCCCCCCCAGGCCATGCCACCCCCCAGGCCCTGCCTATGCCCAAGTATACATGGAAAACAACTGCATAAGCACCACTTAAATATCTGACTTCCGTTGTGGGACTTAGCCTTAAATGGCTGAGTCGTCTCTCCAACCCTACTTTAAGAGTAAAGAGGAGTGCAGGGTGGCAGCAGCTGGCCTGACAATGGAGAACAGTGATCTGGCACCAGCCCACTCTCTGCCCTTGCTTCCATGGTTCTCAGCCTTGACTGAAAACTGATTACAATTAGACTGATACAGTGTAGCCGGCACAGGACTTCTTGTGTGTACACAGCCCCTACTGTAAAAGCATACAAAGTTTAATTCTTATAAAAAGGGACAAAATACAAAAACCAGATAATAATTACAGACAAAACCCCTACTGTCTGAGACTCCTTTCTAAGGTCCTCCCTGTCTGCTGTACATCCTGGTGGGGTTTGCTCTCAGAGGCAGGAGTTCCCTCAACTTTCTCAGGAGCCCACTAGATGCCTGAGCTAAAGGCTGCTTACCACAGCCTCCTTAATGAGGAGTCAAGAGACTTCCCCAAGTTCCCACAGCAGGCAACAGGCAGATTAATCTCCCACCCTCTCCCCCTAATGTCCTTGGTCTGCCTCCAGCTGAATACTACAAACCAGATCTCTCTGAAGTCAAAGAACAAAGTCTGTAACTGGGGCTCCTAAGCACTGGGCACAGTGTTGGGGGAGGGCTGTGCTTTGCAGCTCCGGGGGTTAGGGGGAAGGGCTTTTGGGTTAAAAAGCTCAGTTCCAGATCTCTGACCACACAGAAAAGGGGGCAGGGGTTGTTAGCCTTTGCCTCTCTGGGTTCTGGTTTTCCACCTCAGCGGCGGTGTCCTGTGATGGCCGAGTGAGGCTAGACAGAACAATCCAGGCTGCAGTAGTCAGCTGATGAGAAGAGCTGCAGCACATTAACCAATGGGAACATGAGCAGGGCGCCGATCAGCGAGCCCAGCTGCACCGCTGCTCCACACCACAAGAGGGCACTGCGGCTCCGGTCACGTAAGATCACACCCAGCATCACCTTGACATAGCTGAGACAGGCAGCAAACAGCACCCAGGAGAACACCTGCTGGGTAAAGGCCACCAGGGAAGAAGAAAAAGCAAGAGAACTCAAGGGCAGAGTAACCTCACGGGCTAATAGAGATGAAATGTCCCCTGGCTACAAGGCGGTCCTACGGGGGGGGGGGGGGCGGGGCACAGGAGTTATTCCTCCAGAGTAAAAGGAAACCCAGGTGTCTCTCCCTCCCCCAAATGATCAAGTCAGGGCAAATATGGGAGAGGTAGCATTCATGGCTACCTTCCCTCCCGGAGTCCCCGCTTTTATGAGAACCACTAAGAAGGCTTAGGCTAACAGAAAGGGTTGTCCCTGGGGTGTCTTGGGAATGGAGCATGGGAGGGAATACTTACGATGAGAACTTCTCCACCCCAGTGACCCTGCAGGATGGGGCAGGGGCTCATGGCAGCCATGGCCAGGTTGTAGGCCCCAAAGCTGGTTCCCAACAATGTGAGCATCCCCAGGAACAGTAGCGACCTGTGGGAGAGTGGGGAAGGGCATGAGAGTTGAGAAGCCTGGCCTCAAGGAGTGGCCTCCAGGGTTGGGTTAGGAAACACAGAAAACAACCCCAGGCTACTTAGGTTAAGGGGGACACCGAGAGTCAAGGCACCTCCTCGAGACTGGTCCTTGACCCATCTTAGACCTGGTCTTGCCTGCACAAAAGGAGTGCGCACTGGGTGGCCTCCCAGCCGTGGGTTGTGTTGGTTTTCATTTCTTCATGGTACCAGCTCCTTGCCAGGAGCCACCAGCAGGGGCTTTGATCTCTGCAGGACCCTTCAGGATGTGATATGCTTTCTCCAGGACCCTCCCTTCTCTCAGGGAGGCCTGCCATCTGTGTGTGGGAGGGGGTCAGTCATGAGCCCCGGAGGTGACTTTCCAGAATTCCATCAGAATCTGGCCGGCAGCCTTAGGTGAGGCTCAGAAAAATGGCAATGCTGTCCCCGTGGCCCATGAATGAATGTTTAGGAGCAATTGACCAATATACGAGGGAACTGTCGCCTGCAGCTTTTACTTCCGGCACTGGCTGGTTTTGTGTATCTCTTTGACACAAAATAAAGTCATCAGAGGAAGGGGCCTCAGTTGAGGAAACACCTCCATGAGATCCAGTTGTAAGGCATTTTCTCAATAATGATCAATGGGGGAGGGCCCAGCCCACTGTGGGTGGTACTGTCCCTGGGCTACTGGTCCTGGGTTCTATAAGAAAGCAGGCTGAGCAAGCCAGGGAAAGCAAGCCAGTAAGCAGCAACCCTCTGCATCAGCTCCTGCCTCCAGGATCCTGCCCTGTTTGAGTTCCTGTTCTGACTTCCTCCAATGATGGGCTAAGATCTGGAAGTGTAAGACAAATAAACCCTTTCCTCCCCAACTGCTTTTTGGTCATGGCGTTTCATCACAGCAATAATACCCTAGCCAAGACATTTCCCCTATGACTGTAACCTGAGACCATGCTCCTACAGAGACCCCCGACCCAAACTAACGCCTCCTTGTGCTGCCATAAGGAATATGAGATGTGGGTGGTATAGCAGGTGCCTCCTTCAGAGTGAGCACAACCCATCCGATCCCAGCTTTTCTGTTCTCTCCTCATTGCCATCACCTCAGTCCATTTCCAGGATGCAGCTTATATTTTTAGGCCAGGGTCCAGCCCACTCTGGTACCCTGCTATCCTAGAAGTGCAACTTGATGGAGCTGGCTGGGCCTGAGGCAGGAGGGCAAGGCTGAACAAGGCCAGCCCCATCCATCTCTCTAGGTCTCAGGGTTCTATGTGTCCAGCTCAGTAGCTGACTGTCACTCCTCATGGTGGCTCTGCTGCTGAGACATTGGAAGTGTCAGGCACTGATAGAGAACAGCACATTCCTAGTCGTCATAGGAGGAAGTACTGCCACTCCAATGTTTCAGAGAAGTACCCTGGAGGCAAGGAGGTCAAGCATGCTAGCTATCCCATGCCTCTGGGAGACCATGTACCAACCCCCACACACCTCGCCCAGTAGGTGGGGCTTGGCACTTGGGGTTCTGCAATGGAGTGATCTCCACTCTCAGAGTTCCCTGGGTCAGGTGGAGTACCTGTTAGGCAGGAAGATGGGGAGGAAACAGGCAACAGGGCTGGCCACGGAGCTGAGGGTGGCAGACAGGTGGTAGGCAATAGGTCCATAAGGCAGACAGGAGTAGGTCTGCACTGAAGGCAGCACGCCATTGGTGAGTGCGTTGACAAAGGCCACCACGGAGTAGATGAAGGTCAGCTGGGCTGGGCGGAGGGAGGCTACACTGACTTCCACTGGCCCCTTGCCTGGGCTGCTTACAGGGGCACCCAGTGAGCTGGTGTCCTCTGTGTCTCGCGGCCTGATGGAGTGCAGGGTGACCTGGGAGTGGAGAAGGTCCTCTATGGAGCCTTGCCGTCCCCAGGGCTGCCGCTGCAGGATGAAGAAGGCAACCAGGCAGCAGCCCATGAGGGAGGACAGCAGGAGGAAAAACAGAAGTGGTGAGAAGCGTGGGGCCAGGTAGCGGCTCTCCAGGTGCCAGGCGAGGGGCGACAGGGGAGGACTGTGGGCGGTCTGCAGAGAGACAAAGCCGCAGTTAGTGATGCGATGCCACGGGAGGGAGTCTGGGACGGCAGAAACATTCCTTACGTCGGATTCCCTGGTAAGGGGAGTCTAGACCTTAGATTCTCATTTCCCTGGTCTTCACGATTTTATTTGGAGGCTCAAGATAACCCCCAGTCTAACTAAAAGGCCAGAAAATGCCTCCCTAAGAGAGACTTCCTTAGGTACTGGCTACTCTAAACCAGTTGAGTTGGGACAGACAAGAGTCTACTGTAGAGGGATGTGGACATTTTCAGGACTGAGATATGCAACATTCGTCACGTGTCAGATTCCATCTGAGTTTATGACAGGCCACCTTTGCTCATCAGCCACCTCTTCTTCTCTCCCAGAGTACATCTCCACACCCCGAAGAGGCCCACGTGCCCTTACCTTTCTCCTGTTTGGGAAGGCTTAAACCCTACCACCTGACTAGCCTTTGAATCTCAAACATGACCCTCCAACAGGCACACACCTAAAATGGTCTTCCTGCTGTCCACCCACCTCACACACTTTTAGTTTGTAGCCCTTAGTGGACAAGATGGCTCAGCAGATGAAGCCACTGGCCATGCAAGATTGACCACCGGCGTTCCATCCCTAGAGCCCCTGTAGAGGTGGAAGAGGGAACCGACTCTACGAACTTGTTCTCTGACTTCCATCCTTGTATGGTGGCATGTGACTCTATGCACATGTGTCAGAATACACATACTAATAAAAATAAATAAATAAAATAATGTGTAATCCTGTTGAAGAAACAATGAAAATAAAGGAAGCAAATTTTCCCTTCCCTACTCTGGAGACCAAGCACAGCGCAGCAATGGCTCTGGGTTACACTAGGTACCTGGGTGATGTCGCTCTCCACTGTGGTCACAGGGCTCAAGGGGGTGCCTGGTGTCTCTGTGGCATTGATACAGGTAGTGATACCCGAGCCTTGGGCAAGAGCCACCAGTGCTGGCAGGAGGCCACTGAGCCCCTCCCCTATAAAGAAGGTGGTAAGATAGTACGTGGGCAGCTGGCTCATGAAGGGCAAGAAAGTGACAGAGGAGGTGCAGTCCACCAGGGCCAGGAAGAAGGTGAGGACGATGAAGGCCACACTATGGCGTCCGCCCTGGATCCAGGAGGTCATGTTCCACAAGAAGGCCAAGAGGAGGCAGGCAGCTGTGCCTATGCACAAGATGAGGAAGATCACGGGCACCTCAGACAGGCAGCCAGGTTGGAAGCGATGCAACAGGGTGACTAGAAGGGGGCCTATGTTGGCCAGCTGGATGACCACAGTGAGGTAGGAGGGCAGGTACCAGCCCTCGGGCAACTCGGTCACCAGCAGGGGCAGCTCCACCCAGAGCCCGTTGATAGCCACCCAGGAGCCCATGCCGAAGATGCAGACCAGCAGGTGTGTCAGGAGGGCCATTGCGGGCAGCCCGAGCCAGGCGCTGTCCTGTTCTCCCCGTCAGGATGCAGAAGGGCTGGTGGAAAAGGGCACCTGGTGAGACAGTTCAAGTTTATCATCAAAAGCTGGCTTTCTATCAGCAGAAAATACAGATGCATTTGTTCACCTGGGCCGGGCTTTCCTTAGCAGGACGCGGAAATCCTGACACCACAAAAGCAAAGTTTGATATATTTCACATTTCACTTCAGACACCTTAAAACATACAAATGCAATAAACACCAACAGGTAAACAAAATGCTCCTGCAAAAAACAAAACAAAACAACAAAACCCAAAACAACAGCAAGGTCAAAAGATGAATGGCAACCTGGGGAGATATGGGCAAAATAGACAAAAGGCTTGTTTCTTTAAGACATAAGGAGTTTTATAAACCAAGAACTGAAAATTCAAGAGAGGGACTTGCCAAGGACATAAACAGTTCACAGGGAAAACATATAGACTGGCTTTTGAGCCATGGATGGGAAAATGACTCCAGGATGCCATTTCCATAGGTTAACTTCAGGTGAGTTGAAAAGTCAGCAGATGTGGCATTTTTAGACAATCAAAGCCAAGGAAGTTTACCCAGTTCGCACTGGTGTCCTTAATGAGCAGGCAAGGAAGTGGCCTAGAAGGGCAGAGTCCCCTGCCCAAGGCCACCCTGCCAGCAAGTGGCATTTCTTTGTGAGAGCTGAATCAGCCTAGCCAGTTCCTCCTTGAATAGAGGAAGGGGGAGGGGACCTGCTTCCCCTCACCATATGCTTGGACTGGTCCCATGCCAGCACTTACCCAGTTGGGTAGTCACAAGCAGACTCCAAGCCTTCTTTTTCCTTTTTTTGGGGTGTGTGTGTGTGTGTGTGAGAAAAATATCTGACAGTCTAGCCTAGAACTCTAGATCTTCTGGATCTTCCTGCTTTTGCCTCAGGGGTATGTATCACCACACTCGTGAATCCCCCTAGCAGTTTGTATAGAATTTTTCTAGGAGTTCTAGAGCTTTCTGGTGCCCCAGCCTCACCCAGAAATCTTTGATGCTCTGACAGCCAGCTCTTTCTCCTGGTTCCTACACAGGAAATGGAACAGGAAAGGATTTGAGAGATGGGGGAAGAGCAAGAGACAAGACAGGGGCCTTAACTATAAAGACACTGTCCTGTTCTTACCCAGGGCCCATCTGGTTGTGCCAGAGGACCTGGAGACAGTCAGCTTCCAAGCTGCACTTGCTCTCCTGCCCAGCCTTCAAAGCTTCTCCACCCAAATTCCTGCAAGATCCTGCCCCAGGAAGCCTTCCCACTGCCCTTGCTGAGTCAGGGCTCCAGGGGGCGCAGGAGGACACGAAGCCCAGCTCTGCTGATTCAGAGAGAGAGCCAGTCAGTAATTAAAGGAGTGGATCTCCCTCCCAGGCTGTGAGAGCTCCAGCCTGGGGAGGTTAGTAGGAAGAGAAGTGGGCTCCATCAGGGTCTGCACCCCAGCTCCCCGCTTCTGTTCCGCCCAGTTCTCTAGCTCCGAAGACCCCCGTAAGAAGCAAGCACTGATGGCTGACAGCCAGAGAACAACTCACACGAAGGTCAGACTGTTTCTCTTGGAGCAGTGAATGTTCCGAGTGTGGTAGGGACGTATTTAAAAGATGAACATGAGATGGGGTGTAACTCAGGCATGGTTCATTTGGTCCCCCAACCCCCTCCTGGGTATTGAACCCAGGGACACCTATGTGCCAGGCAAGAGCTCTATCACCAAGCTATACACAGCCTCTTGCCTTTACTTTTAAATTTGAGACAGGGTCTCACTGCATTCCAGGCTGGCTGTGATCTCATTTTGTAGCCCAGACAGGTCTTAACCCTGGGAAGCCCCTGCCTCAGCCTCCCTGGAAGCTGGGACTACATACAGTTCTGAGGCATGAGGCATTTGTATTTGTATTTTCTGCCTGTCTCCGGTGGCCCTGTGACTCTTGTTCACTCATGTGTGTAACCTGCTTTTACCAGGTGCCTATGCCCAGCTGAACAACTGTGCTCTGCTCTCAGGAATGTGAATAAATCTGTCACCAAGAAAGCCAGAGATTCAAAATATAGACCTTTCCAGGCAGCAGTGAGTATCACAGAGCAGAGCTGGCTAGCCAGCACAAGGCCCTCTCCATGTTCAACTTGCGTGGCTGCACACTATAAGATTAAGGGTGACAGAGAAGCAGAGAAGTCACCAGGGCCTTCAAGGACAGTGTAGATGTCTCCTCATCCACAGTTCCTGTAGGTGGAGGAAGGCCAGTCCTGGCTGGCTGTGGGAAGGTGAGCGATGGGGACCACAAAGAAAGCAGGGCAGAACCACTGCACGTCAGGGTGTTGGCATGGCTACTTAATAAACCCCTCACCTCCTCAGCAGCCTTCCAGCAGTCCTGGCTTCACCCATTTCACAGGGGAAGAAACTGAAGTCCAGAAACGAAAAAGGAGTGGCCAGAGTCACACAGCTGGTTAGGGTGTATGGGACTGTGGAGCAGATCCCAGGAAGGAGTGATGGGTAGCCTGACATTTCAGGCTCTGGAGCCAGGAAATAGGGAGTGAGGAAGGGCTGAGGGGATCAGAGACATAGGCCTTAAGATAGAGCTGCTTCCTGGGTGCTAGGGTCCCCTCATGGGGTGCAGAAGCCCAGAGACCAAACCAAGTCTCTGACTGAGATGAGGTCCAGAAACAAATGGGTGACTAGAAACATCAGAGGGTGACTTCAAGCCAGGACCTTTTGAATCTCTCTGTCTCAGTCTCTGTCTCTGTCTCTCTCTCTCTCTCGCGCGCGTGTGTGTGTGTGTGTGTGTGTGTGTGTGTGTGTGTGTGTGTGTGTGTTGCAGGGCTGAACCAGGGTCTTGTGCATGCTAGGCAAACACATACCACCTTCTTTGTTACTTGTACATCAAACACTGAATGTCAACGGCCCACACCCCCATTGAGTGGTACTGGGCTACCTCCTCCCCGGAGTGGTCTGACCTTGCTCCTGGACTGTAACAATTTCTTGGCTTCTCTGTGCAAAGCCTCACATCTCATGATCCTCAGAAACCAGCCTGTCATAGAGCCTATCTGTGTATCAGTCAGTATAGAGTTTTCCCACGGGAACTGGAGTATGTGTGGGGAGATATTCTCTCCTACATGGAGGCAGCATCTGGCTTGCAAGACAATGGGCCACCCTATACCCTAGTGCCATGGTTGGGTGCTCTCACTGCATAGATAGGCTGGCAGTTGGTGGGCACTGAGTAGAGGGGATCAGATCAGAGAGAGTTGGTGCTGGCCTGCTGGTGGCCCTGGGGACTGGGTAGGACCTGCCTGGCTTTCAGCAGGCAGAGCAGGGGATCAGAAAGCCAACTTATGGAAGGGAGTGGAGCATTAAACAGGGTGTGAAGTGATATCTATGGTGGACAAGGCACTGGGGCCCAGAGAAGCAACGCTTAAAATACAGGAGTAGACAAGAGAAGCCGAGGCAGAAGAAGAGGTCAAGGGGAGGCATAGATTCAGGGGTGGCTGTTCCCCCCTGCAAAGACTTGGTTGGGCAACCACACACCCAGCAAACAGGTAGTGACAGGGGCATCCTGCCCACTCTGATCTCAAGAGAGAGCTGTCTGTCATCCAGGCCTGTGCTCCCTGGCGGTATGACCTCGGGCCATTTGCTCACTTTCCTTGAGCCTCCTGGGATCCCACCTGTGAAAGGATCTGGATATGTCAAGGCTTGGTGGCCCAGGTCTCAAGGAGGGAGGAGGTCTCATGGCTCCCTTCCTTCCTCCCCTCCCTGCTGGCCAGGAAGGGCATCCGGCTACCCGCACCAGCCGAACTTTGGAGGGGAGCCATCCCCAGACTGGTGGGACCTTGTGCGCCCCGGCCAGGCTACTGAGGCTCGGCCGGCCGATGGACACAGGTGCTGCATAGCAGCATCGCGGCCAAGCAGGCCGGGACTGGGAGCTTGGAAGAGGCTCAGAGTCCGCAGTTGCTCCACCTATCCCTGCCGCCCTCCTGGCGGGAACTAGGGTAAAGGTCACAGGCCACCCACTGTCCCCAGACGGACACCCCTCCCCCCCCCCCCCCCGCTCCACCACCACTCACCGAGGGTCACAGAGGGTCTGCTTGCGCCGCTGCTTCTGGCTGGCGTCTTTGGCGACACCTGTTTGTCTCCGCCCCGGTGGCGGGAAGGTGGGCGGGACCGAGGGGATGGCCCTGCAACAGTACTCAGGAGCCACTACCAACGCCACCCACCCACCCCCCCGTGGAACTAGAGCCTTCTGCATCCTGCCCTGCTCCTTCGGCTTGTTCCCTCTAGGAACAATCCAAGGTGGGGTAGGGTTTCTTGCGGCGAGACGTAAACTAACCATTGCTCCTCACTTCTGCCTTTGAGTTCCTCTGTATGGATGAGCCCGGAGAAGTGAGGCTTGAGCGGAGGGAGCCACACAGCTCTGGGTGACCCTTAAGCCTCTGGTGGCTGACCAACAGTAACTTAAGCCTGAGGGGCAGGGGATGCTCTCCTCCCCGATTTTCACAGATGGGAAGGTAGGGAAGGAATATGCTTGTATCAGGGAAGATGCAAAGGAATCAATCACAGGAGTGACCCACACACTGTGAAAATGTGTCAGACAGCTCCAGGAACTCGGCCTCCTTTTGGGTGGCTTCCAGTGAATAATCTAGCTCTTTCCAAACTGCCTGCCACCGTTACGGAGACCTGGGGGATCCACCCTCACTCAACAGACAGTGCACTGTGAGGACCGGGGGAAACATCACCCAAAGTGTACCCAGAATATGGCAACAGGTCTCTCCACCCCACCCCAAGCAGACATCTTGAGCTCTTTGGTGCAGTTTGACCTGGTCCTTCTCAGGCCTACAGGGGCAGCCTGGGGCACTGGCCTTTGGTCATAGAATCCACATCTACCTGGGAGGCAGGTTCAAGGGATTCAGTGTCTCTGCAGCAGGAGAGCTCTTTACAGGCAGTTTTACTCAGGTGCAATGCTTTCCTCTCCCTCATAACCTGGGAACCACTACTACTTCCAAGACCCTTCTGTCGTGAAGGATACTGGACTAGCCTCTCTATTCCTGACCCTTCTTCGAGACTCAGATTTTGTGGTCCTTTGGGCTGGAATTTCTCCTGTTGGTGTGTCTCCTGCCCATATAACCATCGGTCAGCTTGGAAGGTGGAGGCAGGACACATCCTTCCTTTTGAACCAAGGCCAAATGTGTTGGCCTCGGGGACACAGGCTTGGCTCTGAAGAGGTAGCCTCCCTAGCAGAGAGGTTGGTTCTGCATCTGTCCTTCCAGGTCCAGCAGGATTCCCTCCATCCCAAACAGCCTACTTGCTGTGTTCCAGCCTCTCCCAGGTGCTCCACATGGCATTGCTATTCTAATTAACCAGTTATCAACCCTTGGAGACCCTGCTGCTCACTCAATCCTCACCAGCCAATGCACCCTATTGCTTTCTCACCGGTTGCCTCTACCTCCCAAAGGCTAGGATTATACCACTCCTAGTTTTATGCAATGTTGGGGATCCAACATGCTAAGCAAGTGATTTACTAATTGGGCTACATCCTCAACTCCTAAATTCTGAAGTTGCCTTTTGCACTTAATGTCAGAGACCTCTCAAGCTGGGCAGTAGTGGTGCATGCCTTTAATCCCATCACTCTGGAGGCAGAGGCAGGCAGATCTCCGAGTTCGAGGCCAGCCTGATGTACAAAGTGAATTCCAGGACAACCAGGACTACACAGAAAAAAACCTTTCTCGAAAAACCTAACACCCCCCCCAAAAAAAAAGAAAGAAAAGAAAAGAAAAAAAGCCAGAAACTTCTCTAATCTCTACATTGACCTCTTCTCTTAGAGTATTCATTATCAACTCCAGTTTAACGCTAGCTGTAAGCCTGGCACCGTGGGAAGGGCTTAGGATGTACAAGTGAACAGGGTTCAAAGTTCCAGCCCTTGGCAAACCGACCTTCTAGTAGAGATGAATGAGCCAGCAGCTTACTCCGCACCTTAGAATGTGGCTGTCAGGGGCGAGGCGGGTGGGCGGGGCGTCCGAGGAGGCGGGCGGGGCGTCCCCTGGGAGGACAGTGGCTGGCAAGACTGGATCCGACTTGCCAGGGTGGGAAAGGGCTCCTGTTGGCAGCCCATCTCGCTCCGGATTCCTTTTTGCCGGTTCAGTTTAGCCCCGCCCATTGCGGGTGCTCATTTTTTGACAAGATCATGACAGCAAAGTTGGAGCGGTCACATCGGCCTGTGATCTCAGCTCTCCGGAAGTTGAAGCAGAATCGCAAGTTCAAGGCCAGAGTGCACTGCAGAACAAGACCCTTCTATCACGGTCTGAAAACAAAACTAAAGAGTCATCGAGAAGGTTCCTCAGGTAAAGGCGCTTGCACCCAAGCCTGCTGACCTGAGTTCGATCACTGGGTATGATGGAAGGAGAGACCCGATTCCCGCAAGTAGTCCTTTGACCTTCACACACGGTGTTGTGTTCCCCCAGCAAATAAATGTAATAGAAAAAAAAAAACCTGGTTCATTAAGAAACACAAAGGGACAACTCATTCATAACTGGTACCTGGAAACGTGTAGAGCCTAGTGCAACTCGAGGTGGCGCTCACGTTCCTTGGGGAGCCTCAAAAGCAGAGACCTGCCTGTCCGCATCTGCCCAGGACGCACAAGAGGGTTTCCGTCGCTACACAGGCGTAGCTTCCTGACCGCACCCTCTGGTAGGAAGGTCCGGCGCGAAGGCGCCGCTGCAGTGCGTGAGAGCAGCCGCCAGGGGGCGCAAGAGCCCGCGTCCAAAGAAGGGCCTTCGCATTTCATAGCTAAGGGCTCCCCACCCCACCTCCCAGCACCTCAGGGTGCTACAGGTAGGACCTCAAAGCTAGTGTGAGAAGAAGGCAGGAGGTCGAAGGCAAAAAGGGCGGGTGGCCAAAGCTCTGTGAGAAAAAAGGCTTAGAGAAAGGCTCTAGAGACACCTTCAGGTCAGCTAAAGACCCATTTGCTCACTTGCGGGACAGCGGCACCCTGTAGTCCTGTCAAAAGCATCTAACACCCAAGAATGCAGCTCAAGAGCCCAGAACAGCACGGGGCACCGGGGTTGAGCAATAGATACACACCGTGTCGCTTTATTCTTTTGAAAACAGTCCTTAGGGATGTATGTGAGTAATTTAGCACATAAACCCATAAGAACCAATCCAGGAGACGGACAGTGGAGTGGGGGCATGTGTGTAAGGGGGAGGGAAGATTGCTCAAAGGGAACTTTAGCTTTAACTGATATATTTTAACCATCTGTGAATCTGTAAGCCTGTTGAGTGTTTAACCTAAAATTATAACAGCCTTCCCCTGACCTCCACCACCCAGGGTTTCTCTATTGTAGCCCTGGCTGTCCTGGAACTCTCTGTAGACCAGGCTGGCCGGCCTTGAACTCACAGAGATCTACATGCTGGGATTAAAGGAGTGAGGCATCACCCCCTAGCTATAACACACTTAAAAAAAAAAAAAAAAAAAAAAAAGAAAGAAAAGAAAAAAAAAAGAAAGAAAGAAGAAAAAGAAGAATAAACAACAAAAATATCAGGTGCTAACTTATGCTAGCTCACATTAACTTTGTGAGGCCCCACCCACCCCCCAGCACCCTGGAGTGTTGAGAGGAGCCTATACTGTGAAATTCAAATGAAGTGAAAGCTCCCTGCAGGCCCCCCCCCGGGTTAAATGTGGCAGAGGATAGCTATCAACCTGGCCCAAAACAAAACTGTAACTTTAGCTACATGATGAGATTTTAATTTTCTTGGGTAACTCTATTGCGTGGTTCTCTAGCATGACAATATCATGTCTCAATGTCAAAAAGTTAGACACTCCTGGTTTAGGCATGCCAGGGGTTGGAGGTGGAGGGAATCCCATACATACAGATCATAGATAAGGGGCTACTTGACCTCCAACCAAGCCTGAGGAACGAGGTGGGGCAGGGAGCTGACTCCGGGTCAGCAGGCCGGGATGGAAACCTGTGCACACCTCTGCAGCCCAAGAAGAGGCTGGACTGTGGAAATAACCTTCCCTCTGCTAAGGCGATAGTCACCACTCACAGGGTAGGGCTAATGTGGGGTAATACATGGCTGGGGAGCACTAGGTAGTATCCGGGGTGGATGCTGTGCATCACCGGAGGGTGTGAGCCGGTGAAACTTGGTGGATAGGTGGATAAGGCCACGGGAAGGTGAAAGATCAACAGCAAACCTCACCTTGACAGTTTGCGCAGAGAATTCGAGGGCTTGCCTTTTCAAGAAGTCGCCACCAGGAGGCGCCATCTGGAGGGCGTGAAATTCCTTGGAGCTGGGCGGTGGGCGCTGTCTTCCTCTGAATTTCACTGTGTTCTGGGCAGGGAGGGTCAGCAGGGAACAGGGCTCCCAACATGGGAACATGGGCCTGTTATCTTTCCTATGGACTGCGTGTCTGACTGAACCCTCTAGAGATCCCGTGGCTCCCAGGATTCCGGCGTTCACAAACCTCTACAGTCACCACTCACTCAGCCTTTTTCATGGTCGGCCTGAACTGTTGGAATCTCTCCTTTCACTGTCCTGCCATCTCCCGCTTCTCTTCACCGCTTCTCTTCATACTCAGCCCTGGCGAGTCTATTTATGGTCCTTTCTATGCGCAATACCTCAATACCCTGTTGGTAGGACTCATCTGTCCCCAGGAAGCTGGGTGACTTCCCTTCCCTCTCTGCCTCAGGCTCCGCTCCAACTCCTAATGGTCTCCTTGCAGTTTGCTTGCTGAGACAAACTTATTCCCCCGCCTTGGGACCTTTGTATTCTACCCTCACATTGGCCCTGTCCTCAAGGGCTGCATGGGTCCTTTCTCAGTGTATTCAGGTCTGTGAGCACTTTTTTTTTTTTTTTTTTTCTCGACAGGGTGGTCCCGCGGTTCTGGAACTCACTCTGTAGACCAGGCTGGCCTTGAACTCACAGAGATCTACCTGCCTGTGCCTCCTGAGTGCTGGGATTAAAGGTGTGTGCCACCACTGCCTAATTTCTCTTGCCTCCAGAAGTGACTGCTTCACTGAAATGACAACCAGCTGGTTGGGGTGCTCTGGGATTTTGCACAGTGCCCTTTATGGTGTATCATATGTTCATTTATGCATCTTGTTTGGGGTTTGTCCCTGTCTTGGTGTTGGGGAGACAGTTAAGGACCGTGTTTGTCCTGCTCACAGCTGAAGCCCTAGTACCCAGCTCATGCCTGGCAGATAACGGTACCAAGTGTGAAAGTGCAAGCTTGTTATCCTCGCACCTGGGAGGTAGAAGCAAGAGGATGAGTTCAAGGCCAGCTTGTGTTACACAGTAACAGAAAACATAGGTGCGGTGTATAACTCAGTGGCAGAGCGTCTGTCTCGACTGGGTTTGGCTCTGGGCTGTATCTGAGCCACAAGTAGACACCCACAGCCCAATGCATCAGAAGGAGCTGTAACATAGCAGATGTTTACTGACTGGATTTAGGGGTGAAGGAGAGGGAAGAGGTGAGGACAGCTGGGGTTCCTATCTGAGGAGGGCATGTGTGTCTGGAGTGGCAGGGCAGAGGGACATAGCTAGGGAGGAGAAGCTTAGCCTGCTGGTACCCATGGCCATCCAAGGCCTTGAACTGTCCCTCACCCCTGCATGTGCCCTGCCTCACTGCTGTTTCTGTGTCCTGGCCATCTTCAGTCTGCCCAGTGTGAGAACACAGAGTAGCCCAGACAATGAGGAGGGAAAAGGGGAGGCTTGGGGACAGCCTGGATCTCAGAGTCTGTGCCAATGCAAGGAGTAGGCAGAAATGTCAGCCTGGCTCTGATCCAAAAGGGTAGAGTAGGTGGCTGGTGTGAGAGTGAGAGGAAAAGCCATGCCTGCAGCTCTTCCCCAGCTCACAGGGACAGCGCTTGGTCTCCAGGGCCTGCCTGGGAGCAGCTGAGCTTTGGCCTTTTTCTTGCTCGGCCTGATGTGTGGGAAGGGATGTCCAGAGTGAGGCCCCTGAGAGCCACTCAGAGCACCAGATGCCACTGCCAGGGTAGAGAAATAAGGGTCCCAAGGGAAGGAGCAAGGCAGGGAAGTCCCCCCCCCTCCCCCTCCATCCCCGGGCTGGGACATCCTAGAGGCAGGGCTGGTATGTTTGTGCAGAACATTCGGTCTCCTGTTCCCAAGCCCAGTCTTGGGACGAGCCACCGTATAAATACGAGCCACCGTATAAATCAACATGGTCAGGGCATGTTAGAATCCCGTCAGGCCTGCAGGACACCAGTAACCTTAAGAACCATGTGTCCATCACCCTGACCTCCTCCAGCACTGGCTGTATCCTGTGTTGTTACTTCCTGCAAGTTCCTGGTATCTAGACTTTCCCTCACCAGACACTTTGAACAGCAAGGGACACAGCAAGGAGCCCCTTGCTCTGAGGTGAGGAGGTGGCCCCTGTCCTAGGGAAAGAGATGACTATGGCCTCTGAGAGTCTTCCTGGGAATGCCCAGCAGTCTGGAGGGTGTGGGCCTTTCCATGTTCTGGTTTTGTTCAGAAGAGGGAGAAATCATAGCTCAGGACAGGTGCCTAGGTTCCTACCTGATCCCTCCCACCCCTTCCGGCTCCTCAGGTCACCCATCTCCTCCAGAGCAAAGGCTTTCTGTGTTCACTGTGTCCTCCTGGCCCAGGCAAGCACCCCTTGCCTTGGGTGTGAACATAGACACCTGACAGCTAAGGGTGACAAGAACAGTTAATCCCAGCACAATGGGAGCACACACATTTGTTGAAGGAGCAAATGATGGTGTCTGCAGCTCCCTTCTGTCTGCCTCCCTGGCATTTGTGATGGCTTTGCATCCTCCAGCACCTGTTACTTCCCTTATGGGTATTTGTGGGGTACCTACTGTGTGCTGGGCTGTATTGTAGGCAGGAAGGAGCAAGCCAGACCCTTGTCAGAGGAACTTACATGGGGCACAGGAGGCTGGGACTCGCATGAAGATAGGAAGATAAGGGACCACAGGTGTCATCCATATCCTGAGGAGGTACTGGGCTCTGAATAGTGTTAGGGCTTCACGGCCAGCTGTTTAAGTGGTAATGAGAGGCAGAGGGAGCCTCAGGG